TTCCACCGGAAATGTCTGGTAAAAATCTAGTTTTTTCGTATTTCGGCAACAAGACAAGCCCCGTGTCGATGGGTGATTCTCCAAATTGTTTTTTTTTTTGAAAAAAAACCCCGTCGACATGGTACTCGTTTTATGTTGAAATTGACGGGAAAAGCCGAATCTGGCATCAGAATTGCGATTGGCGCAACGGTTCTCCGGAAAAATCCTCAAAACCAACTCACAGCTCTTGCTGGTGGACTTGCGCCGGTCGCACAGCTGGGGCGAGGGCCTGGAGCGCCGCTGCGCCCCCATCAAATCGGGCGGATCCATCGGGTTCCTCAAGTACATCTCGTCGATGTGGGTGGGGCTGCCCCAGCTGTCCCCAAACGCCGAACCGTGGCCCGTATGGATGAAGGAATGGTCGAGCGGTTTGCTGATGTCGTCCGACTGTTTCGGGCGCAGCGGATCGACCAAACAGCGCGGAAACGCGCCAATATCGAACGTCCGCTGATTCTGGCCCTTCCACCAGTACAATTCGGCGCTGCCATCGATAATGGCGATCGGATCGCCCTCCTGGATCTGCAACTTATCGGGCTCGTCCTGTCTGGTGAGCGCGCGCATCACGGGCGTGACATTCTTGCGGAAAAACTCCCTCAGCGCGGCGAATGTGGGCCGGTCTTGCGGATTGCGCGCCCAGCATTGGCGCAGAATCGCATAGATGGGTGGGGGGCAGGCGTCCGGCTGCGCCAGCCGTTCCCCCTCTTTGTCGATCTTGCGCAGAATTTCCGAACCTGGAAAATGGTGAGGGTTGAGCGGGGCGGCGCCCGAGGGGGGGCCGAGGGCGCAGCATTTACCCACGAGCCCCATCCAGGGGTCCTCGCCGAACGTGAACATTTCCCAGACAGTGACGCCAAACATCCAGGTGTCAGAGGCGTGCGAGAACTGGCGCGAGCGCAACGACTCAGGGGCGCACCACGGGAACGGCACCTTCTTGTGCTCGGTCATCACGTAGCAGTCGTCCTCTTGCGGCAGCGCGCGCATCAGCCCAAAGTCCCCGATTTTTATCTGGAAAAATAACTTTTTTCTAAAACGAACGAAGAAAAAGCAATTTTTCATTCAAATGCATCAAAAAGTGCCATTTTGCGAACAGAAGCGATGATCAAAAAGAAGCACTTTTCTTTAGCGTTCATTTGTCTTACTTTTACGCACAGTGTGCGACAAAGTAAATGTGACACTTTGAACTTGCCACTGTCATTATATATTTTTTAGTATTTTTATTTAAAAATATCCGAAATGC